TAAAAAGGGAAACCCGAGTGGAGAATTTGAGCACTTTGCCCCGAGAAAAAATGAAAGGGCGCCTACATGCACCCACGAGGCCCTGACGGGGGTCCACACTGCTCCCAAATGACCCCGGGGCCTGGAGGCGGCCCTTCTTCGACGACGAAAATCAAGAAAAACTGAAAAGACGAAGACTCTGCAACAACATTCTTCTCCTTTTCCCACGCAGACATCCTTCACCGTGGGCCCCCCGGACCTTTCTCAGAATCCAATCGCAATCGTTTTCCCAAATGCATCCAACCGCGGCGACAGGGGCGGGGCCCGGAACCCCCCCACCCGCAACAAACCTCCCGAGTCCGACGGACTACTTCGCAAAATTTCGTTCCCCGAACCTCTCACCAAGTCCGTTGATGCAATTTCTCGCCCCAGGTTCGTCCGGTTTCGGAAGTCCCGGAGCCCAGCAACGGCCTCCAGATACCAACACCTATCAAAAACAAAAACTGTTCAAACAACAAGTATATGGGAACGCGACCGGATAGACCGCGGGCATCTACCTCGATCGAGAATAATAATAATAATCAGAAGAAGAAGATAAAAAATGATAAGGACGAGGAGGAGGAGGAGGAGGAGGAGGAGGGGAAACATATTGAAAAACATCGTCGTCGCCGCCGACGTCTCACAAATGTTCGTGGTCTTTCGACCACCCGAGGTACTTCCGCGAGTTCAGCCTCGAGGAACCGTTTTCGGTGCCCGGGACCACCACCGAGGGTCGGGGATGAGGATCGACCTCCCTGGCCGGTGCCACCCCTTCGGATCGAGGCCCGAGGCATGAGACTCTTACTGCTAGGGCGCTCTCCGCCCCCTCTGGGCCTTCAGGAAGCTCCTCGTCGACACAGCTGGGTCCACTCTCGAACTTCTGGCCGGACGCACCCCCAGCTGGGTCTCAACGATCCCCGACCCTATCCAGGAGGTGGAAAAGCAGGCCTGGGACAGACACCGTGAAGGCCGCAGGAAACCCACTTAAGACCACGAACAACTTCAAAACAATCCCCTACAAGGCCTCCCCTTGAAACCCACACGCTACGCAAGACAGGCCGAAACCCCAAGATTTCCCAGCCATCGCGCGCGTTCCGCGATCTCCGTCTTTCACTCTTGCTGCCGCCCCAAGGGGTCGGCGGCGCGGCGCAAGCCAACGGATCCACGTCCGGAAGTGACGTGCTGAGCGGTAGCGTTTTCTGCGGAGGCGATCATGCAACGTATCCGATGTATCCAATCATGGTATTATAATTGCCACATATCGTATTGATTTACAATGTTATGTCTCCCCTCCTACCCCCCCTTTGGAGTCGCGCCACTCCGCCGTACCAAATCTGAGGGCCCTCTTTCTGGGGCTCCAAACCCGTAAAAACCAATGAACAATCAACAAGTTCGGCCTCTTGGGCCTCTTGGGACTCGAAGAGGGCCTCTAGAGGGCCCAAGATGGCCCCGAGACGGCCCAAGACGGCCCTGGATGGTCCCAAGCGGGCCCGTGAGGCCCCCCAGAAAGGGGGCCCCACGAGGACTCTAAAGAGTGCCTCCAGGAGCCAAAATCATAGATTGTCCGTTGGTCCTTGAAAGATGTTAGCGTTATCGCTTTTTGTCGGCTCTCAGAGGACCATGACGGCCCAAGCACTCTTTTTGAAGACCCCAAGACGGCCAAAAAGGCCTTCAAAGTGGCCCCAGAATGCTCAAGAGGGCAGTGAAACGACCAAAAGAGGCCCCCAAAACGGTCCAACGGGCCCCCAAGACGCCCAAGAGGACTCCAAGAGGCGGCCGCGAGAGGCCTCCAAGATGGCCTCCGAAGGGGCCAGGCGGCGCAAGAGCGCCCCAAGCCGGCGCAAGACGTCAACAAGAAGCCCCAAGAGGACCCCAAAGCGGCCCCAAAGACGCTCCAAGAAACCCCCACGAGGCTTTCAAGAGGCTCCCAAGAGCCCCCCGTGAGGCCGCCCAGAAGCCCTGGGGATGGCAGGACGGAGCGGCACGCACGCGCGGCAGCCGAGCAGGTCACGCCAACCAACGCCCACACCTTCCACATGATTTGAGCACTCGCACAGCGGCGATTATCAGTCTGGAACGGCTTCGCGGCGCCCACTCTGCCCGCCAGCAAGCGGGGCAGAGCAAGTCTGCTTTGTCACGCTGGGAGCTGTGCGCCGCTTCTCGCATAAACACTGCCGAGCACCGCGCGCAGTTTAAACACGGGCCTCCGAATGGGCCACACGCCGCAAGAGCGCCCCAAGAGGGTCCAAGACGCCCCCAAGAGACCCCAAGAGGCCTCAAAGAAGCCCAGTGCAGAATGAAGAGGCCCCAAGAAGCATCCAAGACACCTCCAAGAGGCCACAAAGAAGCTCCCAAGAGGCACCGAAACGACTGGACTGTACGTGCTCCGGACGTGCACCCCGCGAAGCGAAAAGAATCCACGTCCGCAAGTGACGTGCTGAGCGGCAGCATGTTCTGCGGAGGCGATCATGCCACGTGTCCAATGTATCCAATCGTTGTAGAATTGCCACATATTGTATTGTTTTACATCATTATGTCTCCCCCCATAACCCTCCCTTGGAGTCGCGCCACTCCGCCGACCCAAGATGTATGCCCCCCTTCTCGGGCTCTCGCAACCAATAAAAAAACCACAAGAAGTTGACGAATTGGACCTCTGGGACCTCTTGGGACTCCAAGAGGGCCTCTAGAGGGTCCAAGATGGCCCCAAGACGGCCCAAAACGGCCCCAAGACGGCCCTCGTGAGGCCCCTAAGACGGCTCAAGGGGGCCCCAAGAGGACTCGGTGGCCCCATATGGAGCTCCACCGTAGGCCCCAATGGGCGTGCCCGCATGCGGTTCCCCCACCCAAGGCAGCGTTTCGTGGCCCCATAGGGAGCTCCACCGTAGGCCCCAGTGGGGGTGCCCGCATGCGTCTCCCCTACCCGGAGGTAGCGCCACCGAAAACGATATTCATATTCGCGGAATTCACAACTGCATATGGTTGGGTCTTTCGCCAGGCTAATTCTATCAGGGAAAATGTTGAGGCTCAAACTGAATTGTTGGCCCCCGGTTTACAACGACAGCGGCTCCCGCCTGATACTTCCTCACAATGTATTCAAGAATCGCGCTCCCGCCCGAGACTTCCTCGCATTGTATTCAGGAGTCGCGCTCTCGCTTGGGACTTCCTCACAATTTATTCAGGAATCGCTCTTTCGGCGCTCTGGAGTCGCGCTCTCATGGGAAACTTGCTTGCAATTTACTTAAGAATAGCGCCCTTGCGTTGGAATTTCTTGCAATTTGCTCAAGCGCCGCGCCCCTGACACCCAGGCACCCAAAAGAGCGCCTCCAGGAGCCAAAATCATTGATTTTCCGTTGGTTTTTGAAAGATGTTGGCGTTCTTGCCTGTCTCGGCTCTCAGACCATGACGGCCCAAGCAGCCTCCAAGAAGCCTTCAAGACGGCCAACGAGGCCCCCGAAGGGGCCCCACGATTGCTCAAGAGGGCCCCGAGACGGCCAAAAGAGGCCCCCAAGACGGTCCAAGGGGCCCCCGAGACGGCCCAAGAGGACCCCAAGGGAGCCCTAAGGCGGCCGCGAGAGGCCTCCAAGATGGCCCCCCACGAGGCTCTCAAGAGGCTCCCAAGAGCCCCCCATGAGGCCGCCCAGAAACCCTGGGGATTGCATGACGGAGCGGCACGCACGCGCGGCAGCCAAGCAGGTCACGCCAACCAACGCCCACATTGTGGCCCACACCTTCCGCATGTGAAACCTTTTCCACAGTGGCGATTACGGCCGCGAGAGGCCCCAGACTGGCCTCGAGAGACCGGCCTCCGAAGGGGCCACATGCCGCAAGAGCGCCCCAAGACGGTCCAAGACGCCCCCAAGAGACCCCAAGAGGCCCCAAAGAAGCCCAGTGCAGAAGAGGCCCCAAGAAGCCCCCAAGACACTACCAAGAGGCCACAAAGAAACTCCCAAGAGGCCTCGCAACGACTGGACTGTACGTGCTTCGGACGTGCACCCCGCGAAGCGAGAGGAATCATTGATGTCCCGACCAGCTGTGTGAAGGATGCTCGTACTCACGCATTTTCGAGCCTCAGTCAGCCCAAGACGGCCCAAGACGCAGCCAATATGGCCCCAAGACGGCCCAAGAGGGCCCCAGGAGGCCCCTACGAAGACAGAAGAGGATCCCATGATGGCCAAGAAGGCCTCCAAGACGGCCCAAGAGGGTCTCTGGAGAGACCCACTACGGCCTTCAAAGGCCCTTCGACGGCCCAGGACGGCGCCAAGACGGCCCCAAGGCGGCCCACGGGGGCCTCCAGGGAGATCCAGAACGGCCTTCGAAGGGACTTCGACGGCGCAAGACAGCACCAAGACGGCCTAAGAGGGCTCCGAAGACAACCCAAGACGGCCCCTAGACGGCCCCGAAGGACCCCCCAAACTACCCCACAGGAGCCCGAGGCAGCCCCAAGACAGTCCAAATGAGCTCCATGAGAGCTCCGCAAGAACTGAAGACGAAAGGTGACACGTGTGACGACCGTCCCCTTCCTCCTCCTCCTCCTCCTCCTCCTCCTCCTCCTCCTCCTCATGCTCATCCTCGTCGTCACCACCATCCTCATCAGCCTCTCTCCCAAGCTTAGGGACACGACATGTCACACGTTACGGCCTCCAGTGCCCCTTCGAACAGTCGCCACCCAGAGTGCTGGAGCTGGCACGGTGGCGGGACCTGCCGCAGGCAGCTGGATATACAACAGCCCCAAAGTATCAATCGCGACTGCGTGCAGCATCATTAGTTCACCTCCTGAGACCGCAGGTGCAGCAATGGTTGGCGGCGCGCGCAAGGGGGTGGAGGGAGGGGGAGGCTTCTTAGAAGGAGGCTGCTTCTGAGACAGTACTGGCCTCACATCTATAGATAAGGCCCGCGCCTCATAAGAAGCAGGGGTGCTTCTAAGAAGCCCTCCCCCTCCCCCCACCCCCTCTGCGCGTGTCAGCAATGGGGCACGTCGGAGCCTCCTCCACCACCTCTTGCATCTTGGCGTCGTTCAGGGCCGCAGGCACCGTCACCCATGGAAGGCCGCAGGCCCACCGGATCGCGTTCTGGCCACCGCTGCTCTTATCAAGACCCAAAGCTCACGCATGACACTAAGAAGGAAGAGGCGAAGACAGTCACGACGGTGACATGACGCAAAAACTACGAAATCGAGCACGGCAGCAACGCAGACAACTTGAGCACTCAAGATTGAAAGGCCATTTACAAAAATAATACCCTCGCCTGACAGCAGCGAGAACGACAGAAGAGGCGACGAACACAAAGAGACATCAAAGACCCAGGACTACCGCAAGGCTCCTGCATCTCGCTAACGCCGATGCCACGGCTGGTGAGGACGGACAAGTCGATGACGTAGGACTGCAGATGATTTTTTCCCGAGCTGCCGTTTGGGAGGGAGCTCTTGAAGAAGACACCTCTTTGCCATAATCCCGCCATATCGATATTCTCCAAGATGGCACCAAAATGGTCACCGACGCTCCCAATGGTGCCCCAAGACGGCCCCAAGAGGTGCCCAGGAGGCCCCAAGAGGCCCCCAAGAGGCTCCCAAGATGCCCCCAATAGGCTTCCAAGAGACCCCAAAGGGGTCGCCCAGAGGCACCCAAGACGCCCCAAGATGCCTCGGCGAGAATGCCCAAATCATCGATTGCACAAAATGTTGGCCATATTTTGGCCTCCTGAGGGGGCGAATTCTTGACGCTCCGCGTGGCCCCACTAGTTCCATAGCCTCTGGCTCAAGGCCGCTCTGGCTCAAGCGGGCCTCAACGGCTGGCCGGGCCTCCGCCCCTCGGTCCTCGGCCTCCCCGCCCGCGGGGGCGTGCGGGGGGTTCGCCCACCTCCGCGCCCCCGCTCGCTCGGCCATGGAGTCGCGCTCGGCGCGGCGGCGGCGGCAGCGGCGCACCGCCGCCAGCTGGCCCGGCCGGCCTGCCGCCGCCGCGGCCCGGCGTGGCCCCTGGCTGCCTCGGCGCGGCCGGCGGCGCCGCCGCCGCGGCCGCCGCCCCCGCCGCGCCGCCGCGGCCGTGGCGGCGGCCAGCCGCGGCGAGGCCGCCGCGGCCGCCGGCGCAGTGGCGCGCGCTGCGGCTCTGGGGCCTGCGGCGGCCGCCGCGGCCGCCGCGGGTGCGGCGGCTGCCGCTGTGGCCGCCGCGGCCGCTGGTGCCGCCGCGCCCGCCGACGCGCCCGCCGCGGCCGCCGCTGCCGCCGCCGCCGCTGCGGCCGCCGCGGGCAGGCCGCTGGCGGCGGCTGCCGCCGCTGGCTTCACTGGTAGTGAAGCTGGCGCCCAACATCATCACCTACGTCATCCTGAACAGCTGGTGCGAGAAGGGCAGGCCTGGGCAGTGGCAGCTGGCCGCGGCGCTGGTGGGAGAGATCCTGGTCGGGAAGCTGGAGCCCAACATCATCACGCACGGCGCTGTGAACAACGCGTGCGAGAGGAGCAGGCGTTGGCAGAGGCGACAGGTTGTGGCGCTGCTAATCGAGACCCCGGTCGCGAAGCTGAAGCCCATGTGCATCAACTCTGGCGCGGTGAACAGCACGTGCGAGAAGAGCAGGCGTCGGCAGTGGCAGCAGGCAGTGCCGCTGCTGGGCGAGATGGCGGCCGCGAAGCTGGAGCCCACCACCATCGCCACCGGCGCTGCGAAGAGCGCGTGCGAGAAGAGCAGGCGGCAGCAGTGGCAGCTCGTTGCGGCGCTGCTGGGCGAGATTGTGGCCGCGAAGCTGGAGCCCAACGTCATCGCCTACGACGCTGTGAAGAGCGCGTGCGAGAAGAGCAAGCGTCAGCAGTGGCAGCAGGTTGCGGCGCTGACGGGCGAGATTGTGGCCGTGAAGCTGGAGCCCAACATCATCACCACCTACGTCACTGTGAACAGCGCGTTCGAGAAGAGCAGGCGTTGGCAGTGGCAGTCTGCGGCGCTGTTGAGCAAGATCCTGGTCGTGAAGCTGGAGCCCCTTATCATCACCTACTGCGCCGTGAACAGCGCGTGCGAGAAGAACAGGAGTCGGCAGCGGCAGCAGGTTATGGCGCTGCTGAGCGAGACCTGGGCCGCGCAGCTGGACCCCAATATCATCGCCTACGGCGTCCCGAACAGGCCGTGCGAGCATGGCGGACGATGGCAGCGGCAGCAGGCAATGGCGTTGCTGAACGAGATCCTGTTCGCGAAGCTGGAGCCCAACATCACCACGCAAGTCACTGTGCGCAGCGCGTGCGAGAAGAGCAGTCGTCGGCAGTGGTTGCAAGACTGTGGCGCTGCTGAGCGAGATGGCGGTCGTGCAGCTGGAGCTCAACATCATCACCTACTGCATCCTGAACAGCTGGTGCGAGAAGGGCGGGCGTTGGCAGTGACAGCAGGCAATGGCGCTGCTGAGCGAGATGGTGGTCGCGCAGCTGGAGCCCAAGACTGTGGCACACCAGATGGCACCCAAGAAGATGGCACCCAAGAAGACAGTTGCCGCGCGGAGAATCTCGCTCACCAGTGGCAGGCAGAGCTGAAGAACGGCAGCGTGAGCATGCTGGCGACCATGGGCTTCACGCCTGACATCGCTGGCAAGCTTCCCAAGTCGCCTTCGGCTGGCCTGGGGTTCGCGGACATCACGCGCGGGCTCGTTGCGCTCCCGAAGGTTCCTGCCGCTGCCTGGGCACAGATCGTGGCGCCTGGCGCTGACGCGAGAGATCTCGATACTCACAACGATATCTCAGCAGCAACATACCACACCCCGCCTCGTTGGCAGATGATGACGTCCCAAAGGGGAATCGAGAGGCGGTAGATGAGGCGGAGAAGGTCGTCGTCGATGAGGTTCAGGAGAGCTGCAGACACCAGCAGAGCAGCAGCAGCAGCAACAAGGCTGCAGCAGCCGCAGCAGCTGGGCAGCAGCAGCAGCAGCCGCAGCAGCAGGGCGGCAGCAACAGCTGCAGCAGCTGCCGCAGCAGCAGCAGCAGCAGCAGTAACAGGACCCAGCAGCAGCCGCAGCCGCAGCAGCAGGGCAGCAGCAGCAACAGCACCCCGCAGGGCAGAGGAAATGAGGCAGAGGTCACGATACACCCTCCGCACCGTTGTCAGACGATGACGTTGCAGTGGGGAATCGAGAGGCGGTAGCTTGCAGTGATCAGTGTGCAGCTCACACTACCCCCCCCCCCCCCCCCCCCTTCAGCAGCACCAGCAGGGCATGGGAAAGGAATGGGAAGTCACGGCGGAGACGGCGGAGGCTGCGGAAGCCGCGGGATACCCCACTCAGAGCAATCAGTCCGTCAGCAGTCCTCTGGGAGCGCCACGCACCCTGCACGGAGAAGGCGGAACAACCATCCAGACGCATGACAGCGAAGCCATCCGCTGGCTCGTCGGGAGAAACCCCTTCGCGCCTATTCGCCCCCCTTCCCCTGTCAGCGAGCTTCCTATGGACGGCGAACCCCAGGCGCCCTCGCCGGGCGTCCAGGGCACCACTGGCAAAGCAGCTCGCGCCCCGGCTATGGAAGCTGCGCCGCCGAGCGTGCACGCGCCCGGCACCACCAGTGGCACCCCAGAAACCGGAGAGAGTCCCGCGCTGTCCAAAGGGGACGCACCTGGGAGCGAAGGCGGGTACAGGCCCGAAGGCGAAAGCCAGCGAAAGGGGCCCTTCCCCACGTGCCGCAAGGCCGCGTCTGCCCCGGCCGCCGGACGCGATCCGACCCCAGCCTGGCGGCCAACCATGCGGCCTGCATTTCCCCGCAAAGCCCTGCCAGGCGCGCAGCCGGAGCTGTCGCGAGCAGATCGCGAGCCCCCCAGCTAGGACAACGAGGCCGGTACGTTGGAGACTTGCGGCCAGGATACACGGCGGCCCCAGAGGCCCGACCCGCGTCAATGGCCAGAGCCCAAGGACCCCGACACGGGACAACAGCTGCACAAAACAGGAATCAGCAACATCCAGTGGGACCTCCCTGGGGAGACGCCCGGCGAGGCGATGCGACGACTCCAAGTCACACTGGGGCCAATGTTCACTGGCACCTGGCACGCTTTCGCCAAGCGGCAGTCTGTGCCCGGCAGCAAGGGCGCGCTCGACCCGCTTCGGCACGACCCGCAAACCTGCCACCTCTTCCTGGAATCCTTCCGCAGCCACAAGTGCGACGCACGGGTCCTCAGCGACGCGCTGGGCCTCGACGTCGATTGGGCTCGGCCGTGGCAGCTGCGCCCGGGTCGGAGCGGCGGAGTGAGCAGTGATCGCCACGCGGCAAAGGGCCACCCGAACAACCAGGCCCCCAAGAAGCGCAAAAAAACAATGGTGGGCCGTCTCCCCACAGTAGCCTTGCTGCGCCCCTCGTGGCATCGCACACGCAGGGATCAGGTGCGTGGAGGGCGGTCCCTGGCAGCAGGCCCGTCGCTGCCCTGCAGTGAGCGTGTCTCGCGGCGGTTAGCTGCACCCCCCTCATGCGCAGATGTTCTCGGCGTGCAGCTGCTACCATGTCATTTGGATGTCCAATCATAGATGGGGCTCTCGTAGACACACTCGAGCTCACACTGTGTAAACGGCATCGCACTCGCGGGGATCAGGTGCGAGGAAGATGGTCTCTGGCAGCAGGCCCGTTGCTGCCCTGCGTCGCGGCCTGCGGGAGGGGCGCCTCCGGGCCCACCGGCCATGGACGCGCTCAGTCGTGGTCCACGTGCGCCGGCGCACTGCCGGGATGTGGGGCGCTCAGCTGGCGCCCCCTTCGCCCGCGGCAGCGCGTATTCGGACCGCAATTTCGTGACGCGCCAACCCCCTCATCGCATGCTCTTTGCGAGTTGCTACCATGGTATGTGTTCGACTTCTGTTTCGTTCAGATCTTCTACTTCTTCATCTTGTCTGTTGTCTACCTGCTGCGTGTGTGGCTATACCGTCGACCTCAGTATTTTTCTCCTCTGTCTGCGTGCTGCGCGTGTGGCTATACCGTGGACAGTCTGGATTTCTACTCTGAGATCCACCTTCTCTGTTGACTAGGAGTAGTACACCGTGCTCATCAGCGCGACTGGGGGTCTCATACATTCTCCCTCTTGGTTCTGACGAGCAGTTGTCGGACGTGCCGCGCATCTCCATGGAATATACCATCCCTGCAGTTATCCACCCCCCACCGTGCATCTGTGTTCTGCGGCTTCTGGCAGCGCCCCCCCCCTGCAGGTGGCCGTGGAGGAGCAACAATGGACCGTTGGACAAGAGGTACTGTGCAGAAGTACTCAGCGACTGCAGTGTGAATGATTGGCGCGTCCCGCGGGTTCTCCAATGGCTGCATCCTGGCGCCGGGCTCGCTGGGGTGCCGAGTCCGCCCTCTGTGGCTCCGGTACTCTTGCATCCCGTTTCTGTCGGTCAGCGATGGCGGTGGCGCCGCCCTCTCCAGCGTGGCCCGCTGGGCCGGCGCA